ATAATTACTTTTTCATGCCCAATTTATAGTTTAAATAAAAGCATAAAACTATTATATATTTTAAATTACAAAAGCTCAATTTATGCCATTTATTCTTTCAGTTTAGGTAGACAGTAAGACTTTTCCCTCTTTTGGGGGACAGGGTCTTGGTAAGTTGCCCATGCTGGCCTCAAATTTTAAACCATCCCTTAGCCTCCCAAGCAGCTACAATTACAGGTGTGTGCCACCATACCTGGTGACAATAAAACTTTAAGAAGAAAAAAAAAAAATCCGAATGAAATTCACTTCTACACTTTCCAAGAACTGAATTATTAGGTTAAATACAAAGAAAAATAATACATAATAGCGAGGGGATGAAAATGTTCCACAATTAGACTGTGATGATTACAGACTCTGTGACCACACTTAACTGTATATTTTTTTTTTGACAGGGGGTGGGGTGGGTACCAGGGATGGAACTCAGGGGCACTGAGCCACATCCCCAGCTTTATTTTTTTGTATTTTATTTAGAGACAGAGTCTCACTGAGTCGCTTAGTACCTTGCTGAGGCTGGCTTTGAACTTGAGATCTTCTTGCCTCAACATCCTGAGCTGCTGGGATTATAGGCATGTGCCACAGCACTCGGCATTAACTGTGTACTTTAAGAGTAAACTAATGACATGCTATTGTCTCAGTAAAGCCATTTAAATAAATGGTGACCTGGGTATAACTGAAATGATTGATACCTACGCTATGTATAGATTTACCAAGTACATTATATATCATCTAATAAGTAGTTGAAGGTAGAGGAAATAAGCCACAGACTTATTTTTCAACTACAAAAGGTGAATAGTTATTTATTTGCAGTGGTTGAAGGTTAAAAATCATTTGCAAAGTTATTACAGTATCCATACATTTTAAGTTCAGCTATTACTGACCACATGCACAGATGGCAATGATCTATTCTACACAGTAAGCTGCGAAATAAAATAAGCATGTTCCCATTAACTGAACCTACCCTCTACTTCTGATTTTAGAGAACATACCCAACAAGAAGGTGACACTTCCCATTAAGGATTCAGAAACTAGTGAAAGGGAAATGAATTTTAATGTATGTATTGCCTGTAGCAGATACTATATTCACCTGAGATGAAGGACAAGGAATTTAAAACTCATCTTTTTTGAATATTCAACTTGGTTTTTTGAGTTTAATTTGTTTTTAGTATTAAAAGACAGGAAATAATTGTCAGGAACCAAGGGAGAAGAGAATGGGAAATGAGTTTTTAATGGATATATGGTTTTTAGGTTGAGGGATGATGAAAAAGTAATGGAGATGGATGGTGGTGATAGCGGTATGACAGTATGAACATACTTAATGGCACAGAACTGTACCATTAAAAACAGATAAAATAGGCTGGTGCAGTGGTGCACACCTGTAATCCCAGTGACTCTAGAGGCTAAGACAGGAGGATCACAAGTTCTAGATCAGTTTCAGCAACTTAACAAGACTCTGTCTTAAAAATTAAAGAGGGCTGGAGGTGTAACTCAGCAGTGAGTGGATGTAGGTTCAATTCCCATTACTGGGGGCAGGAGAGAGGAGAATTAAATAAATTAAAGAGAGATTCTAGAAGACTAGAAATCTCAGATCACACACTATGGATCAACCATTATCTGTCGTTCCTAAACTGTCAAATGCAATATATATAATACAAAAAAATGGAAATATACAGTGTGCAGAAAGTCAGATCAGGGTTATAACCAAAGCTTCTCCACTATGTGATGAATGCATTGGGCAAGTGAATAAAGTCTGTAGGATTTAATCAAACTTTCCAAAAAAGGTAAGGAAAATCTGGTGGTACTGAAAAAGCCTGTATGCCTGGAGCATAAACAAACTGCATAAGATGAATTCACAGAAGCAGGGACATGCAAGTTCTATTAAGTCAAAGAAAGAATTTTATATTTCAAGAGCAATAGGGAAGCCACCTAAGGGTTGATGAACAGATGACATGCCCTTTAAGAAACCACTGACTGTTGGGTGGAAGATGGAATGGAAGAAGTCAACAAGGGAAGCCAGAGCCTCCCTAGGATAGTTACAGTATGAGACAACAGCCAGACTGGTGTGATAACCAAGGAGACAGAGTTCATGGACTTGGATGTGCTCTGAGGTCAGTAGAGACAATGGTCTCAGTGTCAAATAAGATAAGAGGGGGAAGAATCCAAAAGACTCCAAGATTCTCTCAGTCCACTAGGTGGTTAGAATGCCCTACCAAGAAGGCAAAGCCCAGCAAGAAACAGGATTCAGAGGAAAAAAGAAACCAAAACCATCAAGGCAGAAAAGAAGCTGGCTATAGTCTTAATGGAGACCCAATACACTGAAATAGTAGACCAAATACATTAAAATATTCTCAATTTGATAGGCTGAGAATGTATCCCAGATGAAGCTGGAGAAATGGCAATTGAAGCCAAACAACTGTATATACATATGTAGGCAAGGCCATCTGCAACCCAACCTACCATATGTTTATGGAATGACAATTATTTTCCTGTCTTCCTCAGTTACTCTGATCCAGTCATCTGAACTAGAAATCCTACCAACACCTTTGATTCTATATCCACTTAGTGATCCAAACCTGTTCCTTTGCATTTAAATCAGAGGCTCACTTTCAAAATACACGACTACAATTCCACACTAAAGGGACATTTCGTTAATATTTTGGGTTGAGACCTGGTAAAGAGTAGCCCCAAATGATTCCCATGTACATGCCTGTTTAAGAACCACATTCATAAAATCCTAACATCTTACATTATTCTTAAGGCTGCTGCCCTAGTTATGTCTTGCCCTCATTATTTCTTACCTTGATTACTAAAATAGCTTCTCTGTGTCTAACGTTCCTCATTTTGACCTATTTTCTTGCTCCCCACCCCCCCACCTAGTGGTACTGAAGATTGAACCCAAGGCCTCAGGAACATTAGGCAAGCACTTTATCACTGAGCTACATCCCTAGGGCTTTCTATTTTTTGACACAGGGTCTTGTTAACTTGCCCAGGCTGGCCTCAAATTTGCAATCCTCCTGCCTCAGGCTCCTGAGCAGCTGGGATTATACATGTGTGCTACTGAACCCTGCTACCATTCTGACCAATTAATTCCCCACCTCACATTTTTTTTTTTTCTTTTAAAAAAGTAACAACTGGGGCTGGGGTTGTGGGCTCAGTGATAAGAGTGCTCACCTAGCATGTGTGAGGCACTGGGTTCAATCCTCAGCACCACATAAAAATAATTAAAGTCATTGTGTTCATTTACAACTAAAGAAAAAAAAAATTTTTAAGAAAGTAACAACTAGTAATTTTCAATAAGGCCTATAGATAATAGTATTGTGTCAATTTCCATAATTGCATTGAGGTTGATAAGGGAACGTACATTTTATAAAATAAACACTAAAGTAGTTAGGAGTAAAGGGGCATCAGATCTGTAATACATTCTCAAACAGAAAGCCTATGTACATATACACTGAAAAAGCACCTATAATAGAATATTAAACTTAGGAGAACCTAAGGGAAGGCTATGTGTTAATTCTCCATCTTAAAACTTTTTATTTCGACATAATTGCAAACATAAAATGTTTTTAAGACAAAAGAACCTAAACGAGTTGATTCTGATTCGGAGCTATTTGAATAAATGGTATTGATCTGGAGCGTTGAGAACTAGACCCCTCTGAGGTTGTGGGACATTCAGTACATTGTGGTACACTCTGAAGTGAATCCCTACAATCCAGGCCAAGACCACTGGCTCAGAATGATATAAAAGTGTTTCTGAGCATGGCTTTCACGGTAAATGACATTGCCCTTAACTCAATTTGATAGTTAAAAAAGTATGACTTAATGTTTGTGCCAAGAATCAAAAACAGAAATAAACCATGAAGTCCTTATATAGTATCCCAATGAACTGCTCACTATAATTGTCAAATCAACATTTAAGTGTTACTTCTTTAGCAACTAGGATGCATCTAAACTAGTAAAACATATTTAAAAACAAAACACTTCTGCTGGGCATGATGGCCATGCCTATAGTCCTAACCACCCAGGAGGCTGAAGAAGAGGATATCACTTGAAACCAGGAATTTGAGACCAGCCATGGCAACATAGCAAGACCCCATCTCAAAAGACAAAAAAAAAAAAAAAAAAAAAAAGCCTTACCAACAGTATGAAAGGAAGTAGTTAAACACTTTGAAATAATCTTATAGAAAACAGAATGTTTCTGGGGTCAGGCCTGTAATCTCAGTGATTTAGGAAGCTGAGGGCAGGAGGATCGTAAGTTCAAGTTCAGCCTCAGCAATTTAACAAGACCCCATTTCAAAATAATAAAAAAGGACTCGAGTAGCCCAGTGGTAGAGTCCCTGGTTTTAATCCCCAGTAAAGAAAAAGGAGGAGGGCTGGTGATGTGGCTCAAGTGGTAGCACACTTGCCTAGCATGCGTGAGGCACTGGGTTCGATTCTCAGCACCACATAAAAACAAAATAAAGGGGCTGGGATGTGGCTCAAGCTGTAGCGCGCTCGCCTGGCATGCGTGCGGCCCGGGTTCGATTCTCAGCACCACATATAAACAAAGATGTTGTGTCCGCCGATAACTAAAAAATAAATATTAAAAATAAATAAATAAGTAAAAATAAAGATATTGTGTCCACCTAAAACTAAAAAAAAAAAAAAAAAAAATTAAAAAAAAAGAAAAGAATGTTTTGATGGCACTAAAATGTAATATAACTGATACCTGATACGTGAAACGATTATCTTATTTTATTTCTTTGTAGTTGTAGATGGACAGAAGCCGTTTATTTTGTTAATTTTTATGTGGTGGTGAAGATCAAACCCAGTGCCTCACGCATGCTAGGCAAGCACTTTGCCAATGAGCTATAGCCCTAGCCCCAAGTATTAATATATATTAATAGCCTTTAGAAAAAGACCACATTCAGATATACAACCTAAAGAAAAAAAAAAAAACAAAAAACATGACAAACTTGACTCACCAGCAATTTCTACGATATCACCAGGAACTATGTCTTTAGCTTTAATCCTCTGCACACTCTTTCTGTCCTGTCGATACACTTTGCCCATTTCAGGCTCATATTCCTTAAGGGCTTCAATTGCGTTCTCAGCATTTCTTTCCTAAATAAAAGAAAACAAAAGATAAGTGTAGTAAACACTTGCCTGCCACTGCAAGTATTATTTCTAGGCCAGGAATTAAAATTTTAATCTAAATCTTAATAATTAAATAATGAACTAATGAAGTTTGTATTAAAAATTTCATTTTATGATGCCAATTGTTTTACAAGGGCACTTATGATTTTGGATTAAAAATGAAAAGATAAACACCCCAAGAAGGGTAAAGGAACAAACTATAATGAGGAAAAGAAGTTACAAAACCTGCTGTTCCTAAGCACACAGCCTTCAACTCCAGCCACATGTACCCATACCATTTATATCAACCCTGTGTCACATGAAAAGCTATATGGCAGAACAGTCTAAAGTCAGGTTGCCTAGGTTTAATCCAGGCTGTTTCACTCAACAGCTATGTGATTGTGAATAAATTTTACAACACACAGGTTTTACTACCTGTAAAACAACTACCTCAAGGAAGTGTTGTGAGAATTAAGTTTTATGTAAAATGCTTAGACAAAAGTTTTGGCACCTTATAAATGCAGTGATGAATTTTTAAAAATCAAGTTATGTCACAAACCCTAAGAAATTAAAGACCAATGAACTGCTAGAATTTCATCATCACACCGCTAAATATTAGAATATTTAACCATAATCAATGTAACTACTATAATTTAAATTCTAATGTTTCTAATATTGGAGGAAGAATAAATTTGGAATATTGTCGCTATTCAGTTAGTCAATTTTGAAACAAAGTCCCCCTACCCCTGTACTAGGGATTAAAACCAGGGGAACTCTACCACCCAGCGTATCCCCAGCCCTTTTTCTTTCTTTCTTTCTTTTTTTTTTTTTTTGGGGGGGGGGGGGGCAGGGTGGTATCAGGGAATGAATGCAGGGACACTGACTACCAAGCCACATCCCCAGCCCTATTTTGTATTTTATTTAGAGATAGGGTCTCACTGAGTTGCTTAGCACCTTGCTGTTGCTCAGGCTGGCTTTGAACTCACGATCCTCCTGTCTCAGTCTCCCAACACCCCTTTCTATTTGGAGACAAAGTCTTGCTAAACTGCTGAGGGTGGCCTCAAACTTGCAATCTTCCTGCTTCAGCTTCCCAAATAGCTAGTGGTACAGGTGTGTACCACTGTGTCCAACCCCCTAAAGTTATGAATCGTACAGTTTCACCTTCTCAAGATCTTGTTAGGGAGAATTAAACTGGATTAGTCAAGGTTAAGGAAATGTTCCACAAGCACTATATTTTGCTCCAACTACAAAAGTCCATTGAAATTAGATCAACTACATCTCTCAAACCCAGAAGACAAAGATGACAATTAAAATCACCTAAATAACATCTCCTTCCCCCACTCAATTCAAACTATTAAAAGGAATATTTAGAGTGTAGAGAATCTGAAAGGGAAACAATGACAGATTTAAACCAGTTACCCCAGAAAATAGTAGACTTAGAGAAATACAAACACAACTACCAAAAGGATAACTTACAGTACTTCTAAGGTTTCCCCCAGTTCTACAAAGTTTATAATCTCCACCTCGCTCCATTTACATCTCCTACTCAAATCCAAATAGGCCTGTCATTCTTCAAACAAATCTGGTACCATTCTCATTCTCCTCCTTTGCTGAAATCATCTCCCCAGCCTCCACCTGCAAAACTCCGTAACAGTTCCTAACTGCTTGTCATCACCACCTTCTTTGATGACACTGGTCAGAAACGACAGGTTCCTCAATACTACCTAACATAATAATTTATTTCCAGAAGGCAAGAACCTTTTAGTATTGCTCACACCACCTAGGATACTATGGAAACATGAGAAAACTAAAGAATGTTACTCTGTTTTAAAATAAAGACAAACTAAAAGTCTTATGAAACTTTCATAAAAAAATTTCATTTTGGAATTCAGATCACATCCGCCCGGGCTTGGGTTCAAATCCAAGAATTTCTATTAATATGTGTATGGGAACCTCAGTGTCCCTTCTGTCAAATGGGAATATGATCTGCCTAGTAATATAATTTTAAGGATGAAATAAATGGGAATGTGCATGAAGTAACTATCATAATAAATTGTATAAATCACTTAATAATAAAAATGAGAGGATCTGGTGTAGCTCACAGCTTAGCATGCATGAGGCCTTGGTTTAAATCCTTAACACCACTGTAAACAAATAAGTAAAATAAAGAAAAAAGAAACATACACAAAATTTTCTTTTAGGTGCTGGAGATGTAGCTCAGTGGTAGAGTGCTTGCTCGAGTGGCCTGTGTAAGGCTCTGGATTCAATGCCCAACACAATTTCTTAAAAAATAAGCTATGCTTCCATGAGCCCATCATATATTTATTAATAAAAATTAAGTTTATAATTCCAACAGGACTACATTTATAAGATGCTTTCACTTTAAAAGTGACAGGCATACTCTATTTTAATCCTCAAAGAGGTTGACTACATCCATCGAAAGCCCCAAAGCCCAATACTTAAAACAATTTAGGGTTCAAATAATTTTTATAGCTAAAATCACCTAAAAATCCAAGGAGAACAAAGATGACGTTGAGTTTAAAAGTTTATCATAGGAAACAACTAGGAAAAATAAAGACAGATTTTGGTCCTCATATTTCCTGGTTTCCTTAAGTAGCTCCTCTCATCCATTTTCCTTCTTGAGACATGGTCTTGCTATATTGTTCAGGCTGGTCTCAAGTAATCCTCTGGGCTTAGCCTCCCAAGTGCTGGGAACAACAGGAATGTGTCACCACACCTGGCTTCTCATCCATGTTCTTAATTCCTTGTTACCAAGAAGGTTGAGCAATTTTAATAGCAAAACAGACATCCATGACAGGTCTAAAATCTATCATTAAACAAATGAAAAATCATAAATTTTCTACAGACATTTTTTACTCAATATATTAGGAAAAAGATAAAAGATTTGTGCAGTTTGAAATAACTTACATAAATTGCTAAAATTTAGCACTGCAGTAGTTTTTGCTTACCTGCCATACACCCACAATTGCATTGGCTACTAATATAAGTAGAATCACGAAAGGTTCTACAAAGGCTGTAATTGTTTCTTCTCCTTCTTCAAACCAAGCCAAAACCTAGAAGATAAATGGCATATGTTAATATGTTTTTAGGCTTAGTGCCACTTTTACAACAAAAGCAGCTGGCACTAAAAGAATGATAGACTAACCCTCTTTTCCTACAAAATCGCCACAAGATGTAATGATAAAAACAATCAGCTTAAATTTTGTTAATAGCAATTTTGGGGATCAAAACTTCTTAGGTAGGCGTGGTAGTGCACGCCTGTAATCCCAGTGGCTCAGAAAGCTGAGGCAGAAGGATCATAAGTTCAAAGCCAGCCTCAGCAAAACTTAGCAAGACCCTGTCTCAAAACAAAACATAAAAAGGGCTAAGGATGTGGCTCAGTGGATAAGCACCCCTGGGTTCAATCCCCAGTACCCATCCCTGAAACTACACAACTTCTTAACCATACCTTTAACAGTTAATTGACTATTACTTATATCAAATAACATCAGACGTAATGTAAATTCATAGTAAAAACAATTTTGCTACTGACTCAAATTTAGAGTATATAAACTGCTAATTCCACTTATTTTCAGTGGTATTCACTTCAGAATTACTACAAAGTTGTTCTGTGGGAATGTATTTCGAAGATTATCCATATGATTTTTAGTATAACAACATAACACTTCAGAGATGACAAAATTCCAGAAAGTTGTAACTGGACACAGAACACTGCCCCAAGAAGGAATAGAAGATTAAACTTTTAGTTCATGCAACCAAACCTTGTTAAGAACTACAAGTTAACAGCCACCTTGTATCATAATCAAGCTACTATGAAAGTGATTAAAAAAAAAAAAATCCAACACAATGAACCTTAGTAATAAAGAACATGGTAAAGAGTGATAAAAATGGGTAAATATTTCACTAGGATCAGGTCCTGAGATGCCAACTGAATTTCTGTGAAAACCTGCTAGTCTTAATGATCCAATCTGGAAAGCTGGCTTTTAAAAAGTAATAATAATATTGCTTAATAAGCAGGGCATAATAGCACATGCCCATAATCCCAGCTACCGAGGCAGCTGACCAGGAGGATCCCAAGCTCCCAGCCAGTCTGGGAGCTTTAGTGAGATCCTGTCTCAAAATAAAAAATAAAAAGGGCTGGGGATGTAGCTCAGCAGCATATGGTTTTCCTAGCAAGCACAAAACCTTTAGCTGGATCCCCGACACGCTTTTTTTTTTTTTGGGGGGGGGGGGGGGGGTACCAGGGATTGAACTCAGGGGCACACGACCACTGAACCACGTCCCCAGCCCTATTTTGTATCTTATTAGAGACAGAGTCTCACTGAGTTGCTTAGTGCCTCGCTAAATTGCTGAGACTGGCTTTGAACTCTCGGTCCTCCTGCCTCAGCCTCCCAAGCCACGGGGATTACAGGCTTGTGCCACAAAGCCTGGTGACACTTTTAAAAAGGGGAAAAAAACCTTAAAATATGCATATTTTTAAAGAAAGTCTTTAAAAGATTTAGGCCAGGTGCAGTGGTGCACACCTGTTATCTCAGCAACTCAGGAGGCTAAAGCAAGAGGATCACAAGTTCCACCAACCTCAGCAACTTAATGAGGCCCTTGGTAACTCAGCAAGACCATGTCTCAAAATAAAATAAAATAAAAAGATCTAGTAAACAACGAAAGCCCACTTTTTAACTGGGCATAGTGGTGCGCATCTATAATCCCAGTGGCTCCAGGGGAGGCTGAAGGAGGAGGATAGTGAGCAACAGCGAGGTCCTAAGCAACTCAGGTGAGACCCTGTCTCTAAGGCCAAATATGAATTTTCTAAGAGAGGAATGGTGAATTAACAGATCAATCTGTGCAGGGAAAAATAAAACAAGAAGTACCAGGACCCAGGTTCTGACACATGCCAATCTCTACTGACAGCCAGTGAACTAGAGTAGGCAGAAAACCAGAGTGAGGATGATAAATGCCACAGCACACTTTCAACAGGGCATTCCTAGTGTTAAGGCCAGGCCTCATGCTGGAATGAAAACTTCTCTAGGAAGTCAGGAATTTTGATAGTTGTTGGATCACAGCTGCTGATACTAGCCTCTCAAAACATTTGCACAAAAGAGCATGAGAGAAATAATACATTTAATCAGCTCTTAGGGGAGAAAACTTGCTCAACATGAAGAGTGACTAGGGCCTTTCCAAAAGGTCAGCGAGGCATTAGCAACTGTAAGATAAGCTTCACACCTTGTTAAAGTGGGTATGAATTTCCTTCTTGGCAGTCAAGCCTGGGGGACAAACTTTAAGCAACATCCTTTAACAACTGGAGCAAAGGATGAAGGCAAGTAGTGACAGGACAATAAAAACAAACTTCCACTTTTCAAAAAATGTGTATTATTGTGAAATATGGTCCTTGGTGAATATAGGAACCCTAATTAGTGTAATATAATAGTCTCATGGGTTTTTCAACTGATAAGAGAAAAATCTGAAGCACATGTTGGGGGGCTGGGGCTGGGACTCCGCAGTAGCATATTTGCTTGGCATGAGTGAGGCACTGGGTTCAATTCTCAACACTGCATGTAAATAAATAAAGGTCTATCAACAACAACAAAAAAATAAATAATGATAATAAAGAACAGGTTGGATGAATATAAATTATCTGTATTTCCTTTTTCTTGTGAAGAGCCTCTGGTACATAGTTGATGTTCGATATATATATTTACTAGTACAAACCTGGCAGTATTATGAACTCAAACACTAAGAGACCAAAAAAGTAACACTTCATAAACAATTGCAAAAGAAAGTAGAAGAAAAGGCTACTGTAGTGTAATTTTAGGCATAAACCATTTCTTCTTTCCTCTGAACTCTGCACTTAGTACCTATCTTCTAACATTTTCAAGAGAGTTTAGGTTTCAAATATGCCAACTATATTTGAAATAACCACTTGCTAATGAACACTCAACTACACTTCTTTTTTTGATACTAGGGATCAAATCCAGGGTCATTCAACAACTGAGCTACATCCCCAACCCTTATTTTTTGAGACAGGGTCTCAATGGCTGGCCTCCAACTTGCAAACCTGCTTCAGACCCTCCAAGTCATGACTGGGATTACAGTCATGCCCCACCACACCCATCCCCAATTACCCATAACAAGTTAGGATAGGGTATCTTAATAGTTATCCACAAGACTAATCTGTGAGACAAGGTTTATTTCTCAGTGTTAGAACACTTGCCTAGCCTGCTCAAGGCCTTGCACTGATGACCATCACTGAAAAACGGAACTAAAAGGATGTATAATGAACAAAGCAAATTTTAATCCAAGTTAAGGTGTGTTCAACTGTGAACTGGGAGATAAGTCATGATGTTGTGATTCAGTTATCTTAAAGTTGGGATAATAGGCCAAGCTCTAAACAAGACCATAAAAAAGTAAGAGGCGGGGACTGGGGATGTGCCTCAAGCGGTAGCGCGCTGCGCTCGCCTGGCATGTGTGCGGCCCAGGTTCCATGCTCAGCACCACATACAAACAAAGATATTGTGTCCGCTGAGAACTAAAAAAAAAATATTTAAAAAAAATTCTCTCTCAAAAAAAAGAGGTGGGGCTGGCAGTACAGCTCAGTGGTAGAGCTAAGAGTCCCTGAGTTCGATGTTTAGCATCACATCCCCTCAAAAAAGAAAGAATGAGGGGCTGGGGATATAGCCCAGTTGGTAGAGTACTTGCCTCGCATGCACAAGGCCCTGGGTTCAATCCCCAGCACCACACAAACAAAAAAAGGTATATTTGGGCTGGGGTTGTGGCTCAGAGGTAGAACGCTCGCCTAGCATGCGTGGGGCATTGGGTTCAATCCTCAGCACATTAAAAAAATAATAATAAAGATTGTGTCCACCGACAAAAAAAAAAAAAAATTTTTTTTTTAAAAGAACGATCATTTTGATCGTTGTATCCTCAAATTTACACTGTGCTTCTGGACATTTAAATGCTTTTTCAATAAATGTAGAATTCACAACAACTTTTTAAAATATTTTATTTTTTTTAGTTGTACTTGGACACAACACTTTTATTTATTTTTATGTGGTGCTGAGGATCGAACCCAGGGCCTCGCATGTGCTAGGCGAGCGCTCTACCGCTGAGCCACAACCCCAGCCCAGCACATCAACAACTTTTATGAAGAGGAAATGGATGGTGTGGTAGCACAAACATGTAATCCTAGCTACTCAGGAGGCTGAGGAGGAAAATCACAAGTTCAAGACCAGCCTGGGCAACTCAGCAAGTGCATGTCTCAAGATAAAAAAACAAAAAGAGGGTTGGGCATATAGCTTAGTAGTATAGCATACCTGCCCAGCATACTCAAGGTCCTAGGTTCAACACCCAATAACAGTAACACACACACACTAAGAGAATCAAACACTTTTTTAAATGATTTTTATAAAAATGATACAAAGGGTTACCAGTACATGGCGTGCTAATTTTCTGGGGTGGGAAACAAAAATTCTTTCAGACTTAAAACAACAAAAAACAGTAGGGGCTGGGGCTGTAGCTCAATGGCAGAACACTTGCCTAGGCACTGGGTTCAATCCTCAGCACCACATAAAAATAAATAAAATAGGGCATGCTGTCCATCTATAACTACCAAAACAAACAAACAAACAAAAAACCCAAACCAAAAAAACCCATGAAGTAAAACTCATTCTCTTCCAATCTAGATACAAATCTATGTAAAAACCATTCTTCAATGTTCTCAGACTTAGGAATAAATTCTTTTTCCCTAGAATACTTGGCCAGCACGGTGATGCAGCCTATAACCTTAGCAACCAGAGAGGCTGAGTTAGGAAGATTGCAAATTTTGATCCAGCCTTAGAAACTTAGCAAGACCCTGTCATAAAATAACACAAAACAACAATAAAAAATAAAATAACAGAACACAAAATAGTGGTAAAAGCCCCTGGGTTCAATCTCTAGTAGCGCGCATGCGCGCACACACACAAAGTACACCATAAATATATGCCCCAATTTTTTTTAAAAAAAATTCATCTTCCAAACTGTATTTTAAGAAAAGCTCCAGGGCTGGGGAATATGGCTCAGAGGCAGACCACTTGCACGCATGTATGAGGCTTGGGCTTGGGCCCCAAGCAGGGGTGAGGGGGTGGGGAAGATAGCGGTTAAATAAAATAAATTCAGCAAATTGCCTATGTCATACCATATTTAAAGAAACAGAACAGGGAAAAAAATAAATTATATAATATAAATACTTCCTGAATATATCATTGAGAAAAACCAAAGCAAACAGATCCCATACATTTTGAAAATGCCAGAGGAACAAAGTCATCTGAGCAATTATGACCGGGAAAACACACACATCATTAAGGTTAATCTACATAGCTGGGATAGGAATGGGGGCTAAAGGTAGAGAAACCTATGCAAACTGTCACCAAAGAAAGGTGACTTTATATGATTTGGACAGATGTGAGTGAGACCAATATGGCCCAAATATGCAATTTCTCAGGTTTTTTATCGAAGTCACCTTCTTAGAGAATTAGCTGACCACCCTATTTAAAAACTGGTTCTCCCTTATCCAGAGCCCCCATGTTTTCCTTTCTCAGCAGTACTACTCTCCAGGTAAGAAACTTTGTCCATTTTGTTCACTGCTGTATCTTCAATGTCTACAGCAGGTACTCAACAGTGAAAAGAGAGGAAGAGGTGGGCAGGCACTCCAGTTCAACAGCCATGTGATGTGTTGTATTTAGGGCAAAGTCGGTAATGCAAGAGGACGGAAACACAAAATGAAATGACAGTTTTGAATGCCAAACTGAGAAATTTCTAATGTTCATATGCAAAGGGGGAAGTAGAGTTAACTTCTTCCAATCAAAAGTGATCTTATTTAAAGAAAAGTAGTTTGGTGAAAATTAAAAATTGTTTCAACTGCCGAGCATAATGGCCCATACCCGTAATCCCAGCAGCTCGGGAAGCTGAGGCAGGAATATCGAGAGTTCAAAGCCAGCCTCAGCAACTGCAAGGCACTAAGCAACTCAGTGAGACCCTGTCTCTAAGTAAAATACAAAATAGGGCTGGGGATGTAACTTAGTAATCGAATGCCCCTGAGTTCAATCTCTGGTACCAAAAAAAAAAAAAAAAGGTTCAACTATCCCTATGGGCCACTTTAATGCAGTTTCCTACTTTCTGCTGCAGCAATATATTAACTATGGTTAACGGTTTACTACTTAGTTTGATATTTGAAATAAATTACAAATATGCCTTTTAACCTAGCAGGACCTAATGATTTATTATGTATGCTAAACTGAGAAATTTCTACTGAGAACTGACTACTCATTTTCATAAAAGAACTTGAAATATTCTACCATGTTTTTCCTGGTGAGCCAACAAGAAATCAATGACTACAAGATTTTTGTGCTCTTTTTTTTTTTTTTTTGCAAGATGTAGCTCAGTGGTAGAGCAAGTGGTTTGATACTCAGCACCCACATAAAAATAAATATATAAGGATATTTAAAACAAAAAGAGCTATGACACAGTGCTACCTAAATGCTATTAAAAAAAAAAAACAAGGAACAAAAGGTCAAGTACAATATAGCAGTAGTCCCAACCCCAACCCCCCATCTCTCTCTCTCTCTCTCACACACACACACACACTCAATCAACAAAACCCAGCTTTCTACAGTAATTTCTTGATCAAATAAACTAAAGCAAATTAGGTGAATTCTATAGTAAAACTAATTCCTAAGCACTTTTGCTACTTAGCAATCCATAATATAAAACAAAATAATTCCAAGTAGTTATACCAAAAAGGAACTCAAATTTCAACTCCAAAGCGTAGCTCTACAAGACAATGTCCTATCTTAAAACAAAATTTTAGTATTTTAAAATCCATTTGAAAATGCTCAAACTAAAAAGTCTTAATTACTTCAAACAACAATTAAAAAAACACATCAATTCTACATGCTAACATAAAGTCACTCAAACTGGCCACTGAAGAGACCCTACAAGAAAAACAAATGTTTATTGTCACAACAGCGTCATTATTTCCAACACTGCTTCAAGTTAAAATACATACAACAGTTCAGTAAGAGTGTGTTTTATCTTTGGCTTATGCACGCCAGCTATTAACTTGATCACAATGATCTTACTGGACACCAGATTTAACAGCCAAAGCTGAGGTTCTTTAAAAATTATGTGACCAGCACAAATCTACTACCCTCAAATATTTCACTTATTTTGCCCCACGGTAATAAAAATTCAGTACTGAATGGTTTGCTAGGACTCTCAATTTTATTCAATGAAAACCACAGGAAAGATTCTTTGGGACTGAATTATTAATGGCTACACACCACTTGGCTAACATATTAAAGTCTCATGGCAGAATTTATGTACACAATTACTCCAAAGATCACTTCTCACTGCCACTATCTACCTTAAAAAAAGGGGGGGGGGGGTAAAAAATTAATCCTTTCCTCATTTGAACTAAATAAATGAACAAAAAAAACGCCCACTGCTTTATTCAGTTCTCAAGTCAGTACTTCATGGTATGGTTGTCATAAATGCTGAGGTAGATCCCTAGGACTTGTGCACGTATAAATACACAAAAATGAAACCTTGAAGCAGTGTCAGTTTTGCAAAGCCTGAAAGTATTGCACTGGGTAATTTTCACTTCCCAGCACTTTTTTTTTTTTTTTTTAAAGAATAAAGTATTTTTAAGAACAAAAGTCATCTCATGCCATCAGGATTAGGAACATGTGTCTTCTCGTGACCATTTTTAGGAAAACTACCAAGTCTACGGTCCCCCCCCAAAAAATGCAATATAAAATACTGAACAGAAAAAAATTTAATAACCTAGATAAATCCTTGCCACTTCCATCACCTTTTTTCTGCTGTAGTTCTTTGCATTTCACCAGTTTCTTAGCAACTATACAGAACTCAGGCAAGCCACACGGAAGAGAAAAAACACACTATACTGAGTTTTTTCCTTTTAAGATTTAGAACTGTACTGAACCTTGTTATCTCAACCTAGGAATCACTCAAGACGGGGGTCCAATTTAGATAAATACAGCACCCTGAAGGTCAGTGACCAAATTTGGTCAACAGTGGTGCCATCATTGCCGTCATCATTCTTGTCACTGTCAAGAACGACTGTCACCTTGCCACTACCAGGAAGGGAAAGCAACTGGAATATTCCTTTTGTTAAGTTCTATTTACAGCCTACAAAGAGTCCAACATCATCTTAGTATGATCTTACAACATGATAAACAAATTGAACAAAAAAAAAAAAAGGCCTGACAATGAAAAACTTTTTGTTACTTAAAGCTGATAAACCCTAAGATTTTGTAAAGACCCTATGGGTTTGGGAATAATTTCTCCCCACACTGTAAATGTCAGGCATCAATTTTCCAAATATGATTAGCTTCTTCAAGTGTTTTGTTTAGAAGTAAGAATATCTAGGTTATTTTGTTTTTAAATATGGAAACACAGCTTAATTCTACAAATGATTTTACCTAATAGACATAATTTGTTTTCTAGTTTACCTAATGGAATATTTTCAGTTTTCAGGGAGCAGAGAAAATAATTTTTTCATACTCACAAAAGATATACATGCTGCCAGTAACAATATTCTAACTAGTAAGTCTTCAAACTGCTCAATCACAAGTTCCAGCAAGGTTTTTCCTGTTAGAAACAAACATATTTGTCATAACTGTCATTTTAAAAATCAGTGCGCGCGCGAGCACACACACAAATAACACATTAAGATTACTCACCTTCTTCGGCCGGCAACTCTGTAGAATGTAGAAATTCACCAAGCAACGTGTCGAGAGGAGAAAAAACAAATTAGCGCTCTTTCTAAAAAGAATTGCTAAAATTTTAAGCATCAACGTCTCTGGAAAACGGACCTAGCAATCACCCTCCCCAATAAAGCACTCCAAAATGATACCCCAGGAAAATATGCAGAACTTGTCATCAATGGCCTTAGGTCTGGCTCGTAAAATCATTCAGAGCTCCTGAGATAAGGAGCCATTTCAGCTAGGTCATCACTTCTGCCAGATGTGTAACTTTGGGTAGCACAAGAACGATCAGAGAGCTTCTCAACTTTCGACGCCTCAAAAATTGGCAGGGGACAAGAAAATGCCTCGCAGGGCTCAACCCGACTGCAAGAGGCGCGTCCTTCCCTCCCTCCACCAGAGCCAGCTGCTGGCGACCAGAGGCTGCCGAGCAGTCTGCGCGCGGGGAAGGTCAAGGGCTCGAGACCCTGGAGGTCGACGCGAGGCCCGGCCCCTGCCCACAGCTGCTCTCCCGCGGGGCCAGCGCGGGCAGCCCGCAGTCGTCCGCGGGCGCGGAGCCGAGACCCACGAGGTGGAGCCGGGTCAGCCATCTTCCCGGCTCTCGGGCCCGCGCCGTTCCGGCAGCCGAGGTGTCGGGTACCTACCGTTGGAGCCCCATCTCTCCTTGAGCTTCTTGACCTGCTCCAGACTCAGCCCCGTGCTCTCGTTGACGCCGAAATGACCCAGCACCTCCTCCACCGTCTTTGTGTGCGCGTTCTCCATGGCTGCGGGGGCCCGGCCGGCCTGGCCTCCTGTCCCCGCGGCCTCCTCGCCTCCGCCTCGCACTCGGGCAGCGGGCTCGTGCCACCCCGAGCGCCCAGGAGCGGACTGCCTCTCCCCTCCTCCTCCTTCTCGGGCCGCTTCCGCCTCGCCGGGCGCTGAATCACCCCGAGCCCCCTCCCCCAGACAACCGCCCCTCTCGCGGGCGGCCCTCTCCGGCACCCGCCCCGGACCTCGCCGGGCGAGTGGGGGGCTCCCGACGCTCCCTCTCCTCGTCAGAAGGGAGGGCCTCCTTGGCCCTCAGCCGCACGCAGGGGGTGCAGGCCGCGGCCCCGAGCCCCCTCCCCGCTTTGCCGAGTGACTCGCGGCACCGCCCGGGCCGGAGGAGGGGGCGCCCGGCCGACCCTTCGGGGCGGAATGGAGCGCGGGAGGCGAGCCTGTGGAGAGATGCGCGGCGCGCTCGCGCGGGCCCCTCAGCTCCGCACCCCGACAGCAGCGGAGGAAACTGCGGCGGAGGAGAAGGAGGTGGCGTCGGGGACGGCTCCGCGGCGGCTGCTCTAATAGCATTTATCGGCCGCTGCCTCCCCTCTCGCCGCCGCCGCGGCATGTGGACGCCGCTCATTGGCCAAGAGCGCCCAGCGCGGCGCGGGCGGCGCAGCTCCGCCCCCTTCCCGTGGCTTCCCCCCCCTCCTGCGCGCCCACGCCGCCGCGCAGGCCCCGCCCCCTCCCGCGCGCCGCCCCCAGGAACCCGGATCGAGGCCGCGCGCCGCGGCCGCGGCCGCCTATTGCCCACTGTGGTCGCGGGCTTGCGAAGGGCAAGAGCGGTCTTCCTCTGCTAGGGTGGTCCCCGGGTTCCGTCAATCTGCAGACGGGGTGTAAGGGTACGGGGTGGGTTCACTGGACCCACCGCCCCGAGAGAACTGGCTGGCCCGAGGGTGGCTGGGAAGGCGAGGGAACGCAGTCCACGCCGGGCGTCCCCGAAGCGCGCCCGGGCCGGTGTCCTTGGCTCGTCTTCTCGCCCTCGGCAGCCTGGGCCGCGCTCTCCGCATCCTAATCTGCCTCTTTCAGAACCCCCCCTCACAATCCAAGGGGAGGAATTCCGCAGTTCCCTTCCCACACAGCCAACATCCCTCATCCGTCGCCTCGGGAACACCTCATCCCACACCCCAGCCGAGAGCTCCATCGCACGCCAACACCAGCCCTTCCTTTCCCTGCGGATTCTGTGCCCTGACTGAGGGAACCCCACTCTGGGGGAGGAGGTTTTATTTCATTTTTCATAGCCAACACTGCCTTTGATACTTGTCTGCATCAAACTCACAGGTTATGCTATTGTAGCAGCTAGACTGGTGCTAGAAGGTGCTTGGCTCTGGCGTTAAGATGAAGGCTCTTTTCAGTAAAAGAGGTTTCCCCCTTCCTCCATTGGGAGAAAAAGACCCTTTAATCCAAAACCTATTCATGAGCCACCAATAATTTGCTCCATTGGGAAAGTCTGTACAAAGCCTAAGTCACAGCAAGATAAAAGGAATTTTGCCAATGTAAGGAAACCATACTTAACAAGAAATCACGGTTAACCGAGGAAAGGAACTTTGCATTGAACTCGTGAACATTTTTCTTTCTCAGAGAGGAGCAGCTTTGTGAACAGAATAGGTTGCAGAATAAAGCATTTAGTGCACTTGTGTGTTTAGCAATAGGGCACCATCTACATGAACAAAAACCCACCTTAGTTGTCCCACATGGCTCAGCCTCAGGGCCTCAGATAGATTCCTTCAGCAGATGCAAATCACAGTGCATTACCCAGCTGAAAAAAGCAGGCACGTCATTTCATTTAATTATTTCCGAGGAGTGGAGGCTGGCATGCAGTTTTGATTGATACTTGGAAAAGGACCAACAAAACCCTACACGAAACAAACAAAATTCTAGTGTATAGCAATGCACTCCCTAGGACAAGTAAGGTAGAAACTGGTTAGGTCACAGCCTCTTCAGGAAGGGCAAGTGACTGCGTGGTGGGGGTGTGGTAATGGAGGGCTGCTGGTTCCTCTGAGACTAGCTCTGCACCATTACTTACCAGTTCTTCTAGACCTCATTTCTTTCAACACCGACAGAAGTATTTGCAGGCAGAAGGACTGTTACCTCTCTCAGCCTAGAGAATATTTTAAGCCTTGGATCTCTATTCTGTGACCCCATCTCTGCTTGGGATTGTAAATGCTTCTGGCACCATTCTGGAGGGGTTCCTGACTTCCACCTTTGTGTAGAATGCTCTTCCCTCAGTCTTCCATACCGCCTTCCAGTTTATCATTCCAATCTCAGTTTACAAGTCCACTCCTCAGAGATGCCTTTGCCAGCTATCTAAAATGTCTACCCTCCCCATATCACATTATTCAGGTTTTTTTTTCTTCCACAGCTTTTATCTCTGATACTGTACTTTCTGTTTACTGTTTGCCTCCTAGCATCTCGTGGAACATCAGGATACAAGCTCTGTGAGAACAGAATTTGTCTACCTTGTCCATCCTTGGTACACAGCAGTCCCTAGTATATGCTCATCATTTATTGAATGCCTGCTGTTGGAATGAATGAGACTCCTGCCACCTCCAATCCATAGCGACTTGCAAGGGAGGGTTTGTTGAACTCAAATTCATTGATTTCCATTTGTGGAAGGGGCGGGGGACTGGAGGGCCTCTGAACTACTTACCCCATGAGAATGGCTGTGAAGGTTAGTCAGGTTTAAAGAGATGAAACAAGATTAGATTGCATTATAGGTTTCTCAGGGATGGAAAAGGTATTTATCCACATTGATACTATTAGCATATTCCGTCACTCTCCTAGACTATTCTTTGCAAGCTTTTTGTTTACTGGAATCTGGGATACTCCCTTAAACTGAAACAGTGTAATTTTAGCCCATGATTCGTCCCATGTACATTATCATACCAATTATGACTTTAGTTACTCAACCTGTTGGCATCTCTGAAACGTGTTATATATAGGTTATTTACCAAAATTGATCATAAACCCAGCCCCCCAAAGGCAGAAATATCTAGTTTCTCTTATGTAGAAATAAGCTTGTTTCCAGTTTATTTAATGCATTGTGTTATACTTGCTTCTTGTCAACAAGCTGGGGCTAGAGCTTAGCAGTTGAGCGCTTGCCTTGCATGCATGAGGCACTGGGTTCGATCCTCAGCACCACATAAAACAACTAAGAAAAAAAAAAAGACTATTTTTCAGCAAAGATTGCATCCATATTCAATCAATTTAGGACAGGGAAAGAAAAAGAAGAAAACTGTGATTCAGAAAGATAAATGGTCTTGATCAAAGAACTTCAAAGGTATTAATAAAAGAGAACATTAGCTGGTAAAAGGCAGGTTGGTTTTAAAAGCTAGTCAGAAAAAAAAAAAAAAAGCTAGTCAGACAGAAAAGGCCAGTAGAAAGAGTGACTTACAAGAGGCCCCAGACAACGTCCCAACCCTCTACAGCCCTCCTGTAAAGAGATGGAGATTGCAAAAGGTAGTCTGTTCCATATTTGGACAGCTCTAATCATTAAAGCAGTCTAATTTGCGGCTGACTCCATCTCCCTCTAGCTAACTTCTTTACAGTGGTTCTTGTTTAGCCCTCTGAAACTACTCTGAACAAGTTTAATCCCTCTTCTGTGTGAGATTCCTTTGAGTAATTCAAGATATCTATTTCACTTAAAAGCCTCTTTTCCTAACTAAAAAGAGCAACTCGGCCCTGGGCTGTCTTCCTAAACTGCAAGTGTGCATCCCCTGGTCTTTGTCTCCAGTTCTGGAGATCATGTCCAAGACTGAACACAAAAGTCCAGGCATGGTCTTGCAGTGAAGTTTCCACTGCCCACCTTTGTTCTGGGTCCTTTCCCTTACACAATGTTGATTTGTGTAACAACCAACTTAAATAGAGTCCTTTACATACAAACTGTAATCATGTCAAATCTGCTTATCTTGTACAGGCACTCTTGGTTGCTTTAACCCAGACATTGAACTCAGACTATAATAGAATGTTCTCATGCTCATTTTGGCCTGTTCTGGCCTTTTGGAGTCTTCAACTTCAAGCAGTGTTTTAGTTTACACATCCAAGATTTGCATTACACACAAATTTGATAAACACGATTCCTATGTCTCTATCCAACAGAACTTTCTAGACATTCATTCCAGATTGAAAATAACCAATCAGGGGCTGGGTTGTGGCTCAGCAGTAGAGCGCTTACCTAGCATGAGCGAGGCCCTGGGTTCAATCCTCAGCACCATGTAAATAAAATAAAGATATTGTGTCCAACTACAACTAAAAAATAAATATTAAAAAAAGAAAATAATCAATCAACTGGACTTAAGTGTTCAATTGTTATAAAATCATCTTGACCACAGATCCCAAAGTCAGGAGAGCAAAAATCTTAAAAGGCTCTCTGCTTGGGCTGGGGATGTGGCTCAAGCGGTAGCGCGCTCGCCTGGCATGCGTGCGGCCCAGGTTCGATCCTCAGCACCACATACAAAGATGTTGTGTCCGCCGAAAACCAAAAAAAAATAAATATTAAAAAAAATTCTCTTAAAAAAAAAAAAAAAGGCTCTCTGCTTCCTTATCCCCACAATGTTTTGTTACCCAGTGCAGGAACGCTTCCTTTGGTTGACCATCTAAGGTAGTTGGCTTGATTCAAGGTCATGTTATATAAGCATGGAGTCCATGGAGTCGATGGTTCTCTACTTTATCCATTAGAACTTAATAAAAGGACAAACCTCTGGATACCTTATCTACCATAGTCTCCAGATCCCCATTCTGGGGATTTTCCTCGTGGAAATGTGTTCTCTTTGGCGCAGTTTGTGTTACTGAACACATACTAGCACCTTGTGATCACCACTGTTTCTATGTACCCACAAACTTAACATCTAAGAATCTGCCAAACTCAACAGGAAGTTTTTTTCCAGAATTTCCCTCCTTTCTTTCACCCGCCCCCCCAATTTGGGTCCCTACATTAATAGGCATCCTTTCTATGAATGATCAAAATTCTCTTATCTGATGCTTATATGAAAAAGGACTTACTGGGAGTAGTAGACTGCAACCTCACAGCAGCTTGATCATGTGCTCAGAGTCACTGAGAATCTACAACTTTTGACTCTGCCCCTCCAGGTGGAGGCAATATAAGGCCCCAGGCTTCTCCAGTTTACAATTTACTGGTTTAGCAATTCTAATGTAGAGAAAGACCTCAGATTTCCTCTGGGTCCTTTGGCCACCCCTGGAAGCTCCATCTGATTTGTATGACCCAGAAAAGGGAAAGTGATTCCCTAAAATAGTGGTGGAGGCCTCAGCATCACCAGGAGGGCATGAGGAACAGATTGGTGGGATCTGCCTCTGAATTCTCATTTGGTAGGTCAAGGGTGGGCATGAGATTTTGCATCTGTAACAAGTTGCCAGGTGATATGGATGCTGCTGGTTCAGGCCCCACCCACACCCTGGCAAACAAGGCCTCACAGGAAAATCCTGTTGCTGAAAATGTTGGGCCTGCAAATGTTAGGGCTATAAAAGTAAGTAAATAAATAAATAAATAAACGCTTCACTGAGAAA